CTGATTAGAACCAGGACAAAGGGTTTTAAAATATGCTGTTGCTGTTGAAGAGGTTGGTAGTTAACCTAGAGCCATGATTTCGCTATAGCTTTATAGTATTTCAATTTTTATGTATAATTATTTTTATTATGTTCTGATTCATGTCCCATTTAGATGGTATTAAGGGTATATACTGTACCTGGGGACAACCACCTATATTTGCATGACTGTCATATCTCCAAGGTCATGTTAACAGGGCCTAAATAATTTCTCTAATTTAACGTTAATTTGCTTTTTTAAAAAAATGTGTTGTTTATTTTTAGTAGAGAAACATCTCTCTATGTTGTCCACTCTGCTCGCAAACTCCTGGCCTCAAACGATTCTCCAGACTCAGCTTTCGAAAGAGAAGGGATTACAAGCTAATATTAACTTACTTTAATCGTGTGTAGATGATCCTTTTCTTAATGGAGATAATGACTTCTACCTTGGTTTCAGATATTTTTTGACCACTATTATGCAATTTCTTTTTTAAATTTTGTTTTATTAATCTATTTTTAAATTTTAATTTATTTTTATTTGTATATATTCATGGAATACAAGTATGACTTTGCGAGGCTGATATATTGTATCATGTAATTTCTTAAACTAATAATTAATGCTTATCAGAATTATCTCAAATAGATCTTTACTCTTGGAGGTATTGTAAACTAGTATTAACAAAAATAAATCCTCTCAAATCTCAAAAATGATGTAATTATATACAAAAAGATAGCCAACTGGGCTCTTCTTCGTCTTTTTTTTTTTTTTTTTTGAGACGGAGTCTCGCTCTGTCGCCCAGGCTGGAGTGCAGTGGCGGGATCTCAGCTCACTGCAAGCTCCGCCTCCCGGGTTCACACCATTCTCCTGCCTCAGCCTCCCAAGTAGCTGGGACTACAGGCGCCCGCCACCACACCCGGCTAATTTTTTGTATTTTTAGTAGAGACGGGGTTTCATGGAGTTAGCCAGGATGGTCTCGATCTCCTGACCTTGTGATTCGCCGGCCTCGGCCTCCCAAAGTGCTGGGATTACAGGCGTGAGCCACTGTGCCCGGCCTTCTTTGTCATTTTAAATAGCAAAAGTAAAACTCAAAATAATTGGTAGAATATTTTAGATATTTCAAAAATATGGAACAATATCATTGTGATCAGAAATTCTACTTCAAAATATAATTATTTTATAAAAATTGCGTTTATTTAAAACCATAAAAGTTATAGTTGTTATGTTACATTTGCTTACAATTTTCCTTGAGAATAAGGATTTTGTTACCTCACCCCCAAAATTATTTAATTACAATACTGAGATATGTAAGGGTCCATCAATTATTCTGATCTTATAAATATTATTTAAAACACTTACAAATGTGAATGCAGAACACTATCTTTCACATAAAAGTTTCTTGAGAACTCTCCATATTTTACACAGAATTTTTCAGCTATATGTGACCTTATAAGCCAAACATTTCAACTCCCTCATTTTAAGCAAACTGAACATCACAATAACGATACCCAAAGTGACAGAATAGAACCATAATACAGACCTTGAGCTCCAAAGTTCTTTAGATATTTATTCTGCATTTCATTAATGGCTTTATCTAAACTTGATTTTTTTTTTTTTAAGACGGAGTTTTGCTCTTGTTGCCCAGGCTGGAGTGCAAAAGGTGCTATCTTGACTCACTGCAACCTCTACCTCCGGGGTTCAAGCAATTCTCCTGCCTCAGCCTCCCTAGTAGCTGGGATTACAGGCATGCACCACCACGCCTGGCTAATTTTGTATTGTTAGTAGAGGCAGGGTTTCACCATGTTGATCAGGCTGGTCTTGAACTCCTGATCTCAGGTAATCTGCCGGCCTCAGCCTCCCAAAGTGCTGGAATTACAGGCCTGAGCCACCATGCCCAGCTGATTTTTTTTTTTTTTTCATTAGAAAAATTGCTTATATAAATCAGACTACAAACATGCTTTTTTTTTTTTTTTTTTTTAAGACAGTATGTCGCTCTGTTGCCCAGGCTGGAGTACAGTGGTGCAACACAGTTCTCTGCAGCCTTGACCTTCTGGGCTCAAGCAATCCTCCTCTTCAGCCTCCCAAGTAGCTGGGACCACAGGCACAGACAACTGCTCCCAGCTTCTTTATATATTCTTGATATAAGCCCTTTATCTGATATATCATTTGCAAATATTTTTTCCCAGTCTATGGCTTATCCTTTCATTTCTTAATTATGAATTTTGAAGATCAGAAGTTCTTAACTTTGACAAAGTCAAATCTATGTATTTTGTTCTCTTTTGAATCATTCGTTTGGTGTCATATATAGTATTTGTATAACTCAAGGTTACAAAGTTTTTATCCTAAAAATTCTGAGGTTTTATATTTCATATTTAGAACCATGATCTAAGTTAACATTTGTATAATGTATGGATAGTTCTTTTTTTATGTAAATATCCAATTCTTCCAGCACTATTGTTGAAAAAACTCTTTCTCCGGAATTGTCTTTTTACCTTTGTCAAAAATGAATTGGTCATATATGTATGGATCTATTTCTGAACTCTCTATACATTCTTACTGAATTTTTATTGTCTATGCCAATACCATACCATTTTGATTACTGTGGCTTTATGATAAATCTTAAAATCATGTAGTGTAATAAGTGGTGTGCTGAAACTGGCTTGTACCCATTCACAAGAGCTGATCTTGTACATCTCTTCCATACCTTGTGTTCAGTGATGTCACATTAGTAGCTTGAAATCAGCCATGGTGTACTCACACCACAAAAGTATTTCCAGAGAGCTAGTTGTTAAACATCAGCACACCACTAGGTATAAATTCTCTAATTTATTCAAAGTTGTTCTGACTTGGCATTTCAACATAAATTTTAGAACCAACCTGTCAATTTATACAAAAATGCTAGGATGTTTACTAGGATTGCATAAAATTTATAGATCAATTTAGGAAGAAATTACATCTTTTTTTTTTTTTTCTTTACAGGGTCTCCCTCTGTTGCCCAGGCTGGAGTGTGGTGGCATGAACACAGCTCACTGCAGCCTTGACCCCCTGGGCTCAAGCGATCCCCCCACCTCAGCCTCCCAAAGTGCTGGAATTATAAGCATGAGCTACCATGCCCAGCCAAGAAATTACATCTTAAGAATAAAGAGTCCTCCAATCCATGAACCCTGTATCTCTCTCTATTTGAGTATTCTTTAATGTCCATCAGCAATATTTTATAGTTTTTAGTTACAGTTCTCACACATATTTTGAAAAATTTATACCAAAATATTTCAAAATTTTTGGTAGTACTCAATATACTATTGTAAATAGTATTGTTTTTCAGATTTTAATTTTAGGTTATTCATTGCTATTATTTATTATTGTTTTTATATATTGATCTTGTTTACTACAAGCTTGCTAAATTCAATTATTAGTTTTAGAATACTTTTTGTAGATGCTACAGAATTTTCTACACAGATACTCATGTACCTGAAAAAGACAGTTTTACTTCTTCCTTTCCAGTCTACATGGCCTTTTATTTTTTCTTGCCTTATTTGTGTCAGTCTTTCACTATCCCCATTAACCATGACGTCAGCAGTAGGTTTTTCATAGATGCCACTTGTCATAATGAGTGAATTCTCTTCCATTCCTAGTTTACAAATACCTTTTATCAGGAAAGTCTGTTAAATATTGTCCAAAAATTTTTTGCACCTATTGAAATAATCATTGGCTTCAATTTGCTAAAATTTTTAGAATTGTATAACTATTTCATAAGAAATATTAATCTATAAAATTCTTTTCTTGCAATGTCTTTGTTTAATTTTTGTATCAGAGTAATGCTGGCCTCATAAAATGAATTGGTAGTTATTTCCTCCTCTTTGATTTTCTGGAAAAGTTTGCATAAAATTGGTGTTTTTTCTTCCTGGAATGTTTGTAAGAATTCCAGTGGAACTATTTACCAGTGAAACTCTTGGCTTGGAATTCTTTATGGTTAGGTCTTTAACTACAAATTAAATTTATTTAATAAATAAAAGGCTATTTCTTCTTGGATTAGCTTTGATAGTTTGTGTGTCTCTCAAGTAATTGTGTCTATTTCATCTAAGTCAACTATACTGGCATAAAATTCATAATATTCCCTTCTTACACTTTTAATCTGTTGCATCTGTATTGATATCACTTCTTTCATTCCTAATATTGAAAATTTGTGTTTTCTCCCTCTACCCCTAATCCTATCCTGTTTCTTTTCCCCTCTGATCAGTGTGGCTAGAAGTTTATCAGTTGTATTGATTCAGTCAAAGAAGCAGCTTTTGGTTGTACTGATTTTTTCTGTCTCTGTCTTCCAGTTCATTGATTTCTACTCTACTTTTTATTATTTTCTTTCTCTTCTTTTTCTGGTTTCTTAAGGTGGAAGCTGAGGTCACTGATTTGAGATCTTTCTCTTTCCAACATAGACATTTAATGTCTATATTTTATTTAAAACACATTTAGTGTTATAAATTTCCTTGTAAGTACTGCTGTAGCAACATCCCACAATTTTAATATGTTGAATTTTCATTACCATCTAGCTCAAAATACTTTCCTATTTGATTTCATCACTGACCTATGAGTTATTTAGGAGTGTGTTGTTTAGTTTACAAATATTTGGGGAATTCCCCACACATCATTCTGTTATTGATTTCTAACTTAATGCCATTGTCATCAGAAAACATACTTTGTATTAATTGAGTCTGTTTAAATTTGAGACTTGTTTTATGACCTAGAATATAGCCTAACTGGGGGAGGGGGGAAGGATTGCATTGGGAGTTATACCTGATGTAAATGACAAGTTGATGGGGCTGACGAGTTGATGGGTGCAGCACACCAACATGGCACAAGTATACATATGTAACAAACCTGCACGTTATGCACATGTACCCTAGAACTTAAAGTATAATAATAATAAAATAAATAAAATAAAATAAAATAAAAATAATGAAAAAAAAAAGAATATAGCCTAACTGGGTCAATGTTCCATGTGCACTTGAAAAGAACATGTGTTTTGTTGTTTTACAGTGATCTACAAATGTCAAGTACATCTAGTAGGTTGATAGTGTTAAGCCTTCTACACTTTTACTGATTTTCTGTCTACTTACCCTATCAATTATTGAAAGAGGAGTATTGGAATCTCCAGACATAATTATGGCATCTAATTATAAATTTTTCCTATACTCCTTTCAGTTCTATCAGATTTTGATTCATGTGTTTTCCATTTATATCATTAGACACATGAATGCATACAATTACATTAGGTACCCTTGATGAATTCACCCTTTTATCATTTTGAAATGACCCTTTTTATCCTTAGTAATATACTGTGATCTAAAACCTATTTTGTCTGATAGTAATGTAAGTATCTTTTGATTAGTGTTGGCATGGTATGTCTTTTTTGGTCCTTTTACCTTTAACCTATTTGTTTTTTTATGTCTAAAATATGTTTATTGCAGAAAGCATACAGTTGGGTCTTACATTTTTAACCAATCTGGCAATCTTTGTGAAATCACTAAACTCTACCTGGGTTACTGACTTCCTTTCTACTATCATATTTTTACTTTCCAATATCTCTTTTTTGTTCTCAAAAGTTCTACTTTTGGATAGCCTTTCTGTTCTTGTTTTACATAATCAGTAACTTGTCTTATTTCTTTGAACATATTAATATAGTCAATTTAAAATACTATTCTATTCTCTGCATTGACTGTTTTTTATAAGTTCATTTTACCTGTTGGTTTCTTCTCCCCTCTTTTTCATGTTACATGCTCTCTCATCAGTCATTGATTTATGTTAGGGTGATGTTAACTGATAGACTTAACATTAGGGTAGGATTTCTCAATTTTGGCCCTATTGACATTTTGAACTGAATAATTATTTTGGGGAACAGGAAGATGAGCTTCCCTGTGCACTGCAAGATGGTTAGCAGCATCCTTGGCCTCTATCCATGAGATGCCAGTAGCACACCTTTGTGTATATCTTTAGTTATTACAATCAAGTATCTCTCCAAATATTGTCAAATGTCCCCTGTGGGGGGAAATCAGTCCTAGTTTATAACCAATGCATTAGGGTGATCAGGGTCTTGAGAGTTTCTCTGAGAAATTCTCCAATTTCCTACTTTGTGAGTGAAGAATATGAACCTAGTTACTAGCATTTGGAAGCCAAGCAAATGAACAGACATGGGTATCTCACCAACCAATACACAGACTCTGACTTAATCTATCTAGTAGGCAGAATAATGGCCTCTCACAGACGTCCACACATCCTAATCCCAGGAACCTATAAGCATGTTAAGTTCCATGGCAAAAGAGAATTCAGATAGCAGGTAGAATAAAGCTTGCTAAAAAACTGACCTTAACAAAGGGAGATTATCTTGGATTATTCAGTTGGATTTAAATGTGGAAGAAGACAGGAGAGTCAGGGACAAAATGATATGATGTGAAAAAGCCATTGCTGGCTTTGAAGAAGTAAGGGAGCCATGAGCCAAGTAATGCAGGTAGCTGAAAGGAGCTGGAAAAGGCAAAAAAGCAAAATTTCTTTCTAGAGCCTCCATGAAGAAAGACAACTCTGCTGACACGTTAATTTTAACCCACCGAGACCCATTTTGGACTTCTCACCCCTGGAATTATAGGATGATAAATTTGTGTTTTTTTAAACCACTACATTTGGGGGTAATTTGTTATAGAACCAATAGGAAAATAATATAATCATTTGATTTCAGTATGGTGCTTTAGCATCCACTCTCAGCTCTGCTTAGTATTCCCAAATCTAGAACAAACCTGAGATAATCTCTTCTACCATTAATCAACCAAGTCCTACTTATCTCTGTCAAGGTCGAAGAATCCAGGCTTCCAGGTTAAGATGGGACCTATGGAGCAAACTGTTCCTTAAGCAGATTTTAACCAATCCTTCCATTCCAAGCCCACTCTACTCCCCAATACTATTTAAGGGTACCTTGTACCTCCAAATTCTGAATTTTTCCAGCATTCTGCAGTAGAGACAGACTTGCTTTTATTATGGCAAGTAGTTAGACTTCCTCTCTATTCTGCTAAGTCACCACTCATTCTCATTCCTCCTTGCAAAAATACATGGATGTCTCTTATCTGCTACCTCTCTCAATCTTTTTGATCATTAAGGGTTCATGCAGTTTTGGTTCTCTAGAGTCATTTTATTGGGATTTCAAGAACAACAGAAATAAACAAGTTCAACTGCTATGTTTAACTAGTTTTATTTTCAGCTGACATTTTATCAAGCCCTTACTGTGTATTAGATTTTCAGATAAACCTTTACATAAATTATTATTTGGATCTTGTAATAACTCTAAGAGATAGGTACTATTATTTTGCATCCCATTTTATAAACAAAACTGATGTTTGATTCAGGTGACAAAGCTAGGGTGGAACAGAACTGGGATGGAACCCACGTCTTTGTAATTCGAAAGCCAATTGGCCTAGCCAATTATGCAATCTTCTTAATTTTTCAATTAACAATTCACAGGTTTTACTCTAGATCAGGGGTCAGCAAACTATGGCTCACTAGCCAAATCTGGCCTGCCACTTGTTTTGTAAAGTTTTATCAGAACACATCCATACGAATCATGTGGAAAAAAGCACACTCAAACTCAAAGTACTTTTTCTATTCTCTCACTCAACAACAAACAATTAACACAGAAGACTTCTGCGACCAAATATGTGGAGATTTTCCCCTACCAACAAGCAAGCAATGAATTCTGCAGCAAATACCAGGCAGGTATCCTCCAATTTAGTTCTGACACTATCTACCTAGAAATCAAATTCCACAAGTTGAGGGTTCAGTACCAAAAGACTGCCCCTTACTTCTGATGCCAATTGCAAGTGCTGGGTTATTTTTACCTGTGCTTTTAACTGATTGGTTATAAATTGGGGATCCCAAGACCCTTTTCCTTGGGTTTGATTAATTTGCTAGAACAACTCACAGAACTGAGGGGAACCATTTACGTTTACCAGTTTACAGTAAAGGATATTGCCACAGGTACAGATGAAGAGAGTTATGGGGTAGGCACATGAGAAGGGGTGTTGCGCTTCCATGCCCTCTCCAATGCACCACCCTCCAGGAAGCTCCATATGTTCAGCTATCGGAAAGCTATCATGTCCTTTGGGTTTTCTTGGGACTTCATTACATAGGCATGATTAAACCATTGGCCATTAGTGATCAATTTAACCCGCAGGTTGTGGTAAAGGGCTGAAAATCCTAAGCCCCTAATCCTGCCTTGGTCTTTCTGGTGACCAGCCCCCATCCTGAAGCTACCTAAGGGTTGCCAGCTATCAGACAACTCATTAGCATCCAAAGACATCACTTTGGAGAGTAAGGATTTTAGGAGTTGTCCACTAGGAAAAAAGGTTAAAGACCAAACACATATTTCACAATATCATACCCATTTAAATGACTATTGTCTATGCCTGTTTTTGTGCTACACTGTTACAACTGAATAGTTGAGACACAGACAGTCTAGCTGACAAACTCTATTAGTCTCTGATCCTTTAAGGAAAAATCCGCTGACCCTGCTGTAGAAAATAACCTTATGACCAAGTTTTGAGTTCATGGTGTCCTCATATACTTAACACTTTTGTTATTGTTATCAAATCAAAGGCACTATTTTTATTGTTCCTTTAGCCTTTTGTTATCCTGCAGTTAGAAATCTTTGGCCATGGTTTAAAAAGAAAAGTCTCTAAACCCATCTCCCATGTGAAGTCTTCCACATACTTATAGTCATACTCCCATTTCTGAGCTCCCATCTCAATTATTATAATTATAGTATTTAATGGAGTTTGATTCGTATAGTCATTACTAGTTGTGATTCCTCTGAGATCTAGCAAGTGCTTGACTCTGATAAGCATTTTTAAGTACCTTCTAAGTGTCCGTCAGTGTTCTAAACACTAGAAATACAAAAATAAAAATGGCAACTTTTGGTTCATATGTATTCTTTTTAATTAAGAGGTATAAAAATAGAAAAGAAACTGAGCATGGAATATGTGCTATGGTCCCTGCAACAGTTGCATCAGAATCACTAGAAGTGCTTGGGCAACATTCCTATTGAATGCTGAAGCAGAATCTGTGGCGGTTAGACCCAGGAATCTGTGCTCTTAATCAACACTTCAGATGACTCTTAAGCACAAAAGTTTCAGAAACACTATGGCAGTAGACAGGAAACGATGCTTCTAAATGTGCAAGTATTATGAGAGAGTAAGCACAAATCTCACATGATCTCTCTTAATACAAACTAATTTCTGTCAAAATGTAATGTTTTGCTGCTCATTTCTTCTTTCCAAAAGTTTACTCGACATGCTTAATCGGGAACTTTGAAGTTGCTCTCATCTTTACTAATTTTACTCACACTGTGAACCCTGTACCTAGCACAGTTCTTAAAACATAGTTGATATAAATACTCTGTGTTGAACCGTTGAATATTCAGAGCAAAACCTCTCTAAGTTGTCCCTAGTATGTAGAAGTAGGAGTTTTTCCAATTTTAGACTGGAATGGTATGAGAATCATTTGAGAACAAGGAAGATAACACACCCAGGCAAATGTTTGGTCAACCTACACCTTGTTTCTCTCCTTCTAGAAATACTTCCTTCTAGCTCTCAAGCCCACTACCCTGTGAGGAATATCAATCTCTCTCCTCAAGGTTAAGCTGGATTAAGCAAAGCCAAGCAGACTAGTGGAAAAGGTCAGGCATTATAGGATTCATCTTCATCATAGGTAATCTATTTCTAGAGGCTGTAGTCAGCAGAATGCCCCAGAATACATGTTTAAAAGGATTACCTACCTCTGAAGATAACAGACCACTTGCTTATATATGTCTACCATGAGAGTCTTATAACAATGCACTCTTGCTATACCTGACACAGATCTACCCCTCCCACTAGAACTCTGAATTATTTTGCTGGAGGCTACAACATTCTGAGTAGTTTGTTGGGAGTTCACGGGAGGTGGGGATAACTCACCCAGTACAAGCTTAGCAGAGCTGAGCCGCTGCAGCATGTTGGGCTAGCCTTTGATACAGACTGGTTGGACAGGTTCTGGATCTACGGAAGAACCGGTTTTACTGGCCTGTTGTGCCAACATATTCTGGTTTGATTCCATGTTCCACAGACGGTAGAAACCTGCCCAGCCAGTTAAATGAAAGGCATATTAGGTTATCCATTGCACACAGTATATAGCTTAGATGCAGCAGAACTCTTCCACATAGCAGTAGTGTCTAGCAAACTAGTGTGGTCCAGAGGTGGTGTTCACTGATTTAATGTTTAAGTTCATAGCTTCAGGGAAAGTGAGCAGTGAAACAATTTCTGCTTTTCACCAAGAGCAGAGGTTTCTAAATAAATTGAAGGGTAAGTATATTTTTTAAATTTCTCAGTTTTCTATGCATTTTGGAAAGTTAAGAAATGATGTTTAAAAAGATAATCGATTTTTAACATAGTAATAGCTGCATTATACCTTTTCTGTAAAGCTAGATATTGCTTTATAACACTTGCATTATGTTCATTGATTTGTTTGCATAAAGTTTATTTGGTATATAATATTCTCTTACTATGCTTTTTTGTAAGTTGTGCATGGCTATAGTAATTTTAAAAGCTAGACTGAATAATTTTGCCAAATAAATTTCAAATATTAATGATTTATATTAAGCCATCTACTTCTTTCATAATGTAACTATTATGTTTTATAGGCTGTTGCTATATGGTAACAATTTTATATGGTAAATCTAATTGTGGATAAATAATAATTGCCTTTTTAAGGCCAAAAAAAGTATTGGCCTGCTGGTGATCCTAAGTACATGCATTAGAACAATTCACAGCAAAAATTGAGGAGTGTGAAAAACAAAGATTGTGGAATCTGGTAACTGATTAACTATTGGAGCTCAAAAGCACTTGCTGAGCTGAATAGAAAGGAATGAAGACAGGTTTTGTCATGCCTATTAGGTCTGAAAAAATTTTTAGGTTAAAGAATACTTGGATCTTCCTTCCATTTATATTAAAAATCTTCCTTTTATCTCTCTCTTTACTTAATCCAATTACTTTATTTTAGTAGTTTGTATCATGTAAAATGAAAGTTACCAATCCCTTTAGATTTATGTTGGCATACCATCCTACCCCTCTATTTACTGATATTAGATTGAATCGAAGCACATGTCTTCTGGGGCATTTAATTTAACATAACAGCTGACATACGATTTTATCTGGGAATTTAAAAAAATTTTTTAACGTATTTATACTGAATGCTTTCCTGTCATCTTAATAGGACTTTGCTTTGAACTGAGCAAGGCTGATGCATCCTTTTCATTGTCCCTAGGGTTCCCACTTTGTCATTATGTTCAAACTCAAAGGCTATAATATTATTTTCTAACTCAAAGGCTGTAACATTAGTTTCCTTAGAATGTTGACAGAATAAAAGTGTAAACAAACGTTCAGATGAGATTTCATTTTTTGCAGGGAAAACCCTTGGATGCTTCATAGTCCTACTTCTAGGCAGTTCTGCATAGAATTTCTGGTAATCCAGGTAAACTGCTGAAAAGCTATGTAATGTTGTATCTGCAAAAGCAATGTGCTGATTCAGCAAACCAATATTAATTTTATTCAGCACAAATTGTATTTTGACAAGTTTTTGGTAATATGGATCAAAACTTTCAATTGGCTGAATTTTTCTGAATTTACTACATGAAACCTAGTTTTCAGGTAATATATATACCAATAGAGCACATTGTTAGTATTTCTGGTGAATATATTGTATGTGGTAATTTAAAAAATTTAAACCACACTGTGTTTAAAACATAGGGCTTACTGTTTAAAGATAAATTTAATTTGGGATTCTAATTTATTTATTGAGCATCATTTATGTTTATAGTTTTGAAGAAAGCTATTTAGGAACTAGATATACATTTTACATAAAATCCATGGGTAAAATTTCAAGCTTAACTCTGTATTTTGGAAGAGCATTGCACAGTTTTCATTTAATGGAATTTTCATTTTCCAATGTAGGTAAGTCCTATTAAATATTACTTTTATATATTTTCCATAAATTGAGTCATTTAAAATATTGATACATTGTGATATTTTTGCTAAAACCCAGGACATATAAATTTGTCAATCAAATTAGGAGTGTGTATTTTATACAGACCAACATATCTCAGCGCCTAGTCAAAAAGTATTCCACTCATTTAAAATTTTTTTACTCTTTTAGTCGAGGATGCATTTCTTCTTATTCCCAGTCACACAATTTCACATAACTCTTTTTGTCAACAATGCTAGCTTTCTTAACAACTGCAACTTCTTTCCCTTCTGAATATCTTCATGTGTTTTCCACTAAAAGCACTTCGAATTATGACATTTTTTACCTAAGAGGGACATTTAAAGAATAACCAATGAATCTGACACCTCATTTTTGAGTTAAGAAATGAAAAGCCCCAAAATATAGCTAAATCACTATTATATAATCTAAGGGTCGATTCGGAGCCAGAACATCCAGGTTTCCTGACTACCAGCAAGACCAGTAATTTTTTCACTACCCTACATTGACTCTTCTGAATACTACATGAAATCTAATCTAAAAAGGTAAAATTATGTTGTATAGTGTGTTAATGAATCTTTGGTGAACTAAGAAATCATTGGTTTTTGTATTTTAATCTGTATCATTACTGCCCCAAGCATTTTTAGGACAATGGCTAAATATATATGGGATTACCATTGATAATGAACGTGACTACCACTTCAAACCCTAATCTCTTTTTTTTTTTTTTTTTTTTTTTTTTGAGACGGAGTCTTGCTCTGTGCCCCAGGCTGGAGTGCAGTGGCGCGATCTCGGCTCACTGCAAGCTCCGCCTCCCGGGTTCACGCCATTCTCCTGCCTCAGCCTCCCGAGTAGCTGGGACTACAGGCGCCCGCCACCTCGCCCGGCTAATTTTCTTGTATTTTTAGTAGAGACGGGGTTTCACCGTGTTAGCCAGGATGGTCTCGATCTCCTGACCTCGTGAGCCGCCCGTCTCGGCCTCCCAAAGTGCTGGGATTACAGGCTTGAGCCACCGCGCCCGGCCCAAACCCTAATAATGCCATCATACAATTTTGTTTCAAACTGATGAAGGCCTCACATTCTTTCATACTTGCCCACCTTGTGGATCCTACTCTCATTTTCTGACTTAATATTGCTTTAAGCTGTCTCTACTGTCTATTTTCTTAGTATGCATGTATTTTTGTATTATTTTAGTCATTCTTATATGCTTATAATCTAGGATTTGTCTAAGTTAATATAGTATTCCTAAAGTTTGGTTAGAACTGACAGGAAAATTACGTTATGAAGACAGAAATTGCAGGACTTAAAAGCCCATCTTAGAGGTGATAGAAGCCGTTATTTAAGGGGTAAGCTTTGCACACAAGTGCTCAAAAAATGTTTTAAACATTTTTAATTTGAGGAATTCCTAGGAAATGTGATTACAGAAAGTTGGAGAACCAAAGGCCCAAAATTTCAATTCTGATTCCTGGTACTAAATGTTAATTCTACTAATTACCTTATCTTTTCACAGGTAAAATCCTACCTGGGAAATGCTTCTAAATTTGGTCATTTTAGTTCAGTCCAAGTGGACTCAGAAAAATAATCACTTTCATTTGTTTCTTAACTTTACAAGAGAAAAGGCAGTATACTGAAAAGCATGTGAGCTTTTGAGCCAAATTGACATGGATCTGAATAACTCTGCTACAAATTATGTTCCCCTTGGAAATTATTTAACTCTCTGAGTTAGCTTTTCTCCACCTAGTTAAGGAAGTTAAGAAACTAATACCATTCTTTCAGAGTTGTTGGAAGAATTAAATGAGATGTCATGTAAAACACTTCACGTAGTTCCTAAGAACACAGCAGGTACTCAGCAAATGTCAGTATCTTTCTTATCCCTTTTATAGTCTATATAATACATTTCAACAAATAGCTTCGGTATTTGCCAAAGTATTTCAGTATTTTCTTTCAGTAAGAGAAGTCAACTTTAACTTAGAATATGCACGTTTTTGTCAGAAAGATAGAAATAAAATCAGCAATCTTGGAAGGCATTAAGATATAATGTTGAGGCTGGGCACAGTGGCTCACACCTGTAATTCCAGCACTTTGGGAGGCTGAGGCAGCCAGTCACAAGGTCAGGAGTTCAAGAGAAGCCTGGCCAATATGATGAAATCCCGTCTCTACTAAAAAATACAAAAATTAGCCAGCATGGTTGCGCGTGCCTGTAGTCCCAGCTATTCAGGAGACTGAGGCAGAAGAATCGCTTAAACCCGGAGGTAGAGGTTGCAGTGTGCCAAGATCATGCCACTGCACTCTAGCCTGGTCAACAGAGCAAGACTCCGTCTCAAAAAAAAAAAAAAAAGATATAATGTTGGAAAATATGTTAACCTTCTTAAATTTAAAAAATCAGAAACCCATACAATCCAATCCAATTAAAGATTCACTTCAAAGAAGTCTTTGTTAAAAGTATTGTGAGAGCAGTATACCAAGATGATTAAAAGCCTTAAATACTTTTTAAAAATTCAATTTCAATCATCTGCACTAATGGAAGAAAGTGTGACATGGATAATTCAAATTAGAATGCAGTTATGCATCAAGTAACAACAGGGATACATTCTGAGAAATTAGATGATTTCATTGTTGTGTGAACATTATAAAGTCTACTGACAAAACCTCAATGGCAGAGCCTACTACACACCTAGGCTATATAGTATGTCTTATTGCTTCCAGGTTATAAACCTGTACAGCATGCTGTACTGAATACTGTAAGCAACTGTAACATAAGAAGTATTTGTGTATCTAAACATATACTGACATAGAAAAGGTACAGTAAAAATATGTGGTAGTATAATCTTATAGGACCACTGTAGCATTTGTATTCCATTGCTGATCAAAACATTGCTATTCAGTGCATGGCTGTACCTTACTTGTGCCTTGTGAATTTTCCAACGACTGTTTTTATCTATTACCTAACATGACATCAAATTAATTGGCCGAGAATTTCTTTTCTTTTCTTTTCTTTTTTTTTTTTGACAGGGTCTCGCCCTGTCACCCAGGTTTAGCTTCCTATGTAGCTAGGACCACAGGCACATGCCGCTACACCTGGATTTTTAAAAAACCATTTTGTAGAGATGTGGTCTCCCTACGTTGCCCAGGCTCATCTTGAACTCCTAGCCTCAAGCAATCTTCCCACCTCAGCCTAAGAATTTCTATATGCTCTAAGGATTGTGCTTTTTCTACTACCAAGTAAATTATTCTTTCAGGACTCTGGAATATGTTTTCTCCTACAAAAAAAAAAAATCCCTTCTGAATTAAATGTATTATAGGCTAATATTAAATTATATTGCATTATTTTGATAGCAAGTAATGATGAGCAGAGTCAGTCCAAAATGTATAGAGCACAAGAAGAAGATAGAAGAGGATTTAACATTTTCTAAAGATAATATTAAATTAGCCTCAGACTAATTGATTAGGGAATGAAGCTGATGAGCAAAGATCACAAAGGAGGAGCTTTTTGTGAAATGTACTAGTCAGAAGGGAGTTCAGAATACCACGACAAACATTCTGAGAGTTTGCTTAACTAAAAAGAGGTCAATTGACACATCTTCCAATGAATGAATAAAGAGCAAAAAATTGGTTAAGAGTTAACATTAGAACCAACTAATAATCCATTTATAACACAACTGATCTTATTGAGCTCTTGTAATCAACTTAAATTTCCTGAAAGATGTTTAATCGCTTTACAAAAAGCTTTCTGCTGATGCTATAATTTCAATTTAAGTCCATGCTAAAAGAATCTTGTTTTTCGCTTAAATTGTAAACACTGTATGTAGATGGTGTGCAGAAAGACAAAAGTATCATTTCACTAATTTAGCCCACGAATTAATCACTTATTTTTTTTTTCTTTTTTTGAGAGAGAGACTCTCACTCTGTCGCCCAGGCTGGAGTAAAGTGGTATGATTTTGGCTCATCGCAACCTCCGCCTACCAGGTTCAAGTGATTCTCCTGCCTCAGACTCTCAAGTATATGGTATTACAGGCACATGCCCCCACATCTGGTGAATTTTTGTATTTTTAATATAGATGGGGTTTCACCATGTGGCCAGGTTGATCTCGAACTCCTGATCTTAGGTGATCCACCGTCCTCGGCCTCCAAAAGTGCTGGGATTACAAGTGTGAGCCACCATGCCCAGCGTAATTAATTATATATTCTTATTAAAAGTATTTTATTAGATACGTAAGCAAGTTAGCCTATGTGAGTAGTCATTAAAATTAGTATTTAATGTGCATTTACTTTTAAATGTTTACAGTAGATACTACTACAAACAATTGCAAAGAAGGCCGAAAAACAACAAAAAATTTAAATTTTTTACAATGTTCTGGTGGGGAATGGTGGCTCAAACCTATAATCCCAGCACTTTGAGAGGCTACAGTAGGGGGATTTCTCGAGCCCAGGAGTTCAAAACCAGCCTGGGAAACAAAGTGAGACCCCCGTCTCTACAAAAAATAAAAAATAAAAAATTACCTGGGCACAGTGGTACAGGCCTGTGGCCCCAGCTACAAAGGACACTGAAGCAAAAGGATTACTTGATCCCAAGAGATCAAGGCTGCAGTGAGCTGTGTTCACACTACTATATTCCAGTCTGGGCAACTGAGTGAAATGCTGTCTCAATAAATACATAAATGATTTTATACAAATAGCTAATTTGAATAACTCAAGACTAACAACTGAACTGTCTGTAAATCCAAAACTGGGAAATATAGTACATAACAGTTCATTGTGTTAAAGACATACAGCCTTAAGAACAACCAGAAACTATTATCTTAGAAGTTATGTACCACTGACAAAGTGAAAATGTAACTTGAGTGACAAATTTTTAGTTTCAAAGTTATATCTTAAATCTATTCCCTTGAAAGTTCTTTGCCTATCATATCTATAATGATTTAGATTAGGAGTGAGAAACACTTCCAACATGAAAATATTTTAAATCTAATGAATTTCTCAATGACTCTTGAAACATTAAGAAATATAAGATTGATTATAACTTTATGTAGCTAATAATACCCAGGAGTATTACTACTGTAATAACCTAGCAATGTTCTCAAAGCGTAGTCCATGACCATCTGACTCACCTGGAGGATGCCTATTAAAAATGCAGGTCGATAACTCCATTCCAAACATATCACATTAGAATCTCTGGTTGGTAGATCCTAGGAGAGCAGCAAGAAAAGATTTTTCTGCCTGCAAGAGAGAATGAGCAAGTGAGTGAGTCTTTTCAAATCTAACCCCTTAACATTATCAGAAAAATAACCTCAAATGCACATGTTCAACCAATCTTGGGTCATTAACATTCTTACAAACGACTGATACAATTAATCTGACTGTCCCATCCATGCATGCAAATTTTTAAAAGTTAAAACTTCCATTAATAATTCAAAAATAGTGAAATAGAAATCTCAAGTTTCCCCTTTTAGTGTAGGTTCTCCATGGAAAGTAAGAGCCTGAGACCTCTGGCTTATGTGCAGGTTCTTTATTTGGGAAAGCACCCAGACACAGGAGTACGGGACTAGTGAAAGGAAGGAAGGAAGGCCAATACAAAAGTTTATCCTTGAGTTCATCCACCACTATAAATAAACAGGGCTCAAGCCCAGTATCTTCTTAGGAGCCATCAAACTACCCCAGAATAGCCTGTCAGAAGACACAAGAGAAGAGCACTTATCCACAACTTCTGACTTCCATCAGTTAAGAGTTGCTGCATGGGTTGCTAATTTCTTACACTTTCAAATTGCATACTTGTTTCTACTGGCTTCAGAGAAGCTCCTAGGGTGAGGGACTGTCAAGTTTCACCTGCATGAATCTGGTTGCCACTGAAATACTTGGAGCAAGCAGGGCCCAAGACGTGCCCAACATATCATGTTATAGGACAAATATAGTCAAACTGCTTTTTCTTTAGTTTTATAATTCTAATACAAAATACAATTAAAATAGATGTTCTGAGAAATGAGTACAGCAATTTCAAATGGAGAGGAAGGAACTTTTAGCCTATTTTTGTCTGATGTATTTGATCCATTCCCACAAAACCTGAGATGCACTGAAACTTGACCTTCTGTGAGAAAGGTATTTTCTAATAAACTTCAATTTATTTCCTGAATTTGGTTGCCAATTTTTAAAGGACCAAAGAGCAGCAAAATGAACAGTTAGTATGTACTCTGTAAATACTCTTATGTCCAGCATTGATCCAAAGACTTCATTGTTTAAGTTTTTACATTAGTAAAGTTATAGTAAAAACAGATTGACTACATTGGACCCTCAAGTAACATTTTTCATTACAGTGAAACACACAATTTTGAATAGTACAAGTTTGTCTTGGACTGGGTCCAAGAGGGTCTAGTTACAAGAAGTAATTCATTATAACCTATAATGTGATCCTGAGGCTTGGCTCTGAAAAACACATTATATGAAGGCTCTAGTCAAGCAGATTAAAAATTTTAAAACTGAACAGTTAATCATGTACTTTAATTAAGTAAATATCATATTTGTTTGTATAATATGTAAACTTAGTTCAGAGAAAGTGAAGGAGAAACAGGTGCAAAGAAAAAAGAAATCTGACTAAAAGCACATCATCTTTTCGTTTAACTTGAATTTCTGTTAGAATAATTAAAGATGAGTTTAAAAAAAAACACTATCTCCTTAGAAGTTGGGGTAAAGTAGCTAATGAATTGAATAAAGATGAAATAGGAAAACTGAGGAGTGCACAGCAAATACAAAAAAGTGGAGATACACACTGCTGAAAAAAGCCCAATAACAACATATATTATTTTATTATTAATAATAATTGTGAGAGAGGGTCTCACTCTGTCACCCAGGCTAGAGTGCGGTGGCAAGATCTCAGCTCACTGCAACCTCCATCTCCCAGGCTGGAACAATCCTCCCACCTCAGCCTATGGAGTAGCTCGGACTACAGGCACACATCACCATGCCCAGCTAATTTTTATGTATTTTCTGTAGCAATGGGGTTTCCTCATGTTGTCCAGTCTGGTCTCAAACTCCTGGGCTCAAGCAATCCACCTGCCTTGACCTCCCACAGTGCTAGGATTACAGGCATAAGCCGCCGCGCTTGGCCAAAAAATAATTTCTTATAACCACTAATTCTGAAATAAATGAATAGATTAGTTTCTCCTTTCTATATCATTTTGCCATTGGGTTAGATGATATTTTAAATCCCTTGGAATATAATAAAATAACAACAACCATATAATAATACTATCTAACTTACCTGAACTCAATTATGTAAATCAAAATAATACATGTAAAAGCATTTAACAATATAGTGGAATCCTTTCTATAATTATAAATCTTTCACAATTTGCCTAGCAATTCAATAGTTTCCCTATAACTACACAACTTTAGCCATTGAAGAGATCTGATTAGCTGTAGCTCTTTTTTTTTTTTTTTTTTGAGACAAAGTCTCGCTCTGTCGCCCAGGCTGGAGTGCAGTGGTGTGATCTTGGCTCACTGCAAGCTCTGCCTCCCGGGTTCATGCCATTCTCCTGCCTCAGCCTCCCAGGTAGCTGGGATTACAGGCACCCGCCACCATGCCCAGCTAATTTTTTTTGTATTTTTAGTAGAGACGGGGTTTCACCGTGTTAGCCAGGATGGTCTTGATCTCCTGACCTCGTGATCGTCCCGCCTTGGCCTCCCAAAGTGCTGGGATTACAGACGTGAGCCACAGCGCCCGGCCAGCTGTAGCTCTTAAATCTATCTACTGTTAACAACAGTTTCTTACATTGTTACAGTTTCTTACATTTCTCTCTCATTTAATCCTATCAACAATCCTGTAAAACACTCAAGGTACATATTATTACCTTCATTTCATTGATCAACAACCAAAGTACAGAGAAATTAAATTATTTGCTCAACAAGATTAAAATTAAAAATTAGAATTCATTCAGCAAATTAGATGGTGCAGCTGATGCCTTCCCAATATCAACTTATACAAATACATTACTATATACTTGCAATTATAGAACTCAACAATGATTCCCCACAATATAGCCTTTGCACATGCCTTCTGCCTGGAAAGCCTTCTGCCATTCTTCTCCCAATAGGCAAGCTGCTTCAAACTTCTCTTAATTCTTCTTTAAGAAATTTCAAATATATTATTCCATTCTTACAACAACCCCTTTGGGCACAGTATTAATATCCTCTTTCAGTGAGGGAAATAAGACTTGTCTAGGAAACATGCAGATAATCAGAGATAGGGTCAGAATTTAATCTCTCGTCCTATCTTCCAGCACAGGACTCTTTCCATAGCACAAGAAGGCTGGGAATATGGCTATATGCCAGCATTGATTGTAGAACATGATCAAAATTTTTTGAGCCCTTCCTACTCTGTTCCTTCTGAGATTACAACATAATTTAAGACCCTTCAATCTACTTGATTTTAAATTTAGTACATGAAACAACTCACAACCAGGGCTGGGAAAGCCAGTATAACCATTTTTCTAATTCTATTAGAAGTCAATTTATATTCATTTCTCAGATGTACGTATCTGCTGTAAGGCAAGTAAAAAAAGCACGTGTACCAAAAATGCTAAGAAATAAATTAAATAGTCTAAAAAATGAAGTGAGATGATCATAATAGGTGTTTCGCTCCAATCCTAACTGAGGAAGCCCAGTTTATTTTTAACTCTGAGGCTAATTAAATCATGATCAAATTGTAAATACTTTTAGTTACCTCCTACAGTGTAAAGCATTTTTGTTGTTGTTGTTGTTGTTGGTTTGTTTGTTTTATTGAGACGGAGTCTCACTCATCAGGCTGGACTGCTGGACTGCAGTGGCACAAACTTGGTTCACTGCAACCTCTGCCTTCCCAATTCAAGAAATTCTCCTGCCTCAGCCTCCTGAGTAAGCTGGGACTACAGGTGTGCACCACCACGCCTGGCTAATTTTTGCATTTTTAGTAGAGACGGGGTTTCACCATGTTGACCAGGATGGTCTTGATCTCTTGACCTCATGATCTGCCTGCTTTGGCCTCCCAAAGTGCTGGGATTACAGGCATGGGCCACTGCCCCCGGCCAGAGTTTTTTGAAGTAAAAAGAAAAATGTACTTGCTCTGTCACCCAGGTTGGAGTGCAGTGCATGGCTCACTACAGCCTCATCTTCCTAGGCTCAAGAGATCTTCTCGCTTCAGCCTCCTGAGTAGCTGGGACCACAGGCATACACACCATACCTAGCTAATTTGTTTTTATTTTTTATAGAAACCAAGTCTCACTATGTTGCCCAAGCTGGTCTCAAACTTCTGGGCTCAACTGATCCTCCTGCCTTGGCCTCCCAAAATGCTGGGATTACAGGCATGAGCCACTGCACCAGGCTCTGACCATATGGTTTACAGTCATCCAAATCAGGACGTTTTTAAAAGTAAAAGGGAGTTCTATTAATAATTAAGCTAGAGCAATAGGAATTAACCAGGACTGTCACTGGTAAGCTAGGGCATATGCTCACCTCACATAAGAGATGTACTACAATTGAGAAAAGGAAGGAGACTTTTTTTTTTTTTTTTTTGAGACAGAGTCTCACTCTGTCACCCAGACTAGAGTGTGAGCAAGTTCGACCTCCTGGGCTGCAACTTCAACCTCCTGGGCTCAAGCAATCCTCCCATCTCAGCCTCCCAAGTACTGAGGCTACACACAACACTGAACCCAGCTAGACTTATCTTTATTTTTATTTTCTTGTAGAGACAGGGTCTTGTTATGTTGCCCAGGTTGGTCTCAAGCAATCCTCCCACCTAGACTTCCCAAAGTGCTGGGATTGTGGGCATGAGCTGCTGCACTTGGCCGGAAGCCTATCTATTTCAACGTTAGTATCCCAAATAGTCCACAAAAACAAACTGTCACCAAGAGTATGAGTTGAATGAAAACACAATTTCACTGTTCATTTTTAATATTTCTGATTATAACTTACATAAAACTGAAAACATTTCTAGCTAAAACTCAGGATCTCCTATAAGAACAACTTTGAACATAAAACATTTTTAAATTTTTTATTTTACCTTGGGAAAAGTAGCTATCAAAGCTTCCTTAAACTTAGACTAACATGGATTAGGAAAAACAAAAAGCCAATATTTGTAAGTCTATTTTTCTCAAGCATAATTAGAATAAAGACCAAAAAAAGAGACAGTGCTTAATGATATATCTGTAATCTGTGAAGCACATAATTACATTAAAGATCACAACTATTTG